TCTTCTGAGACCCTTTTAATTGTACGTTAGTCATGTTGACAATTCAACGGGCCTCCTTGTTTCACCTTGGGGAACTTCAAAATCTCTTGGCTGATGGGTTGCCTTTCAGCAGTAGGGAAATGGAGACTTAGAAAGTAACTCTCCCAGGATCCCCAAGCTGGTGTGTGGTAGAACTGGGGTTTGAACTCAAATCAACAGAATGGATTGGACTCCTTATTAGTGCCTGACTCATAAAACCAAACTTAATATCTTAATATAAAACATAGAATTAATAATACCTATTACCTTAATCCTGGTTATACGCTGACAAAAATTATCACTGAAGTCAACTTTTCTAAAACATTGTTTTTTGTTTCATCAAAAGAAGCCATTTGTAGAGAAGAAGAAAAAAAGTGTGGAAGTCATTCAGTCTTTTCTCCTCCCTCCCAAACACACACAATCTTTATTATATCACCTTTGCAAACATAAGCAGGCTCAAAAGTCTAGTCATAAGTAATTCAAATGCAATAGGCCAAAAACACCAAATAAAATTATTTATGGTACATCAGTCATTCTGTTTTTTCTCATAAATCTTGAAAACAAAAACTGGTCTTAGTTTCTCATTTTTGATATGCTTTCCTCCGTTGAATTATGTAAAACTTCCAAAGATATAAACATCTCTATATACAAAGAAGCAGTATGGCAGTGTGTGTAACCTGACACATTTTTCCCTCAAAACAAATCATGATAACTCTGCTTTGAACCTGTTCTTCAATTCTAGAAGGAAGCGAGTCTGAAAGATATATAAACCTAACTTAAGTGGCTGAACAATTTTTTATTTGAAAATAGCATAAAAATCTGAGTTGAGCTAAGTTGCTTGGAAAGTGGAAGGAACAACTCTGCTCTCCCAAAGCTTTGTCAGTTAGGACGCAGATAGGAACTGCCAACCCCAGGAAGAATAAGTCTAGTATAATATAATTCTAATAAGAATAAGTCTAATGTAATGTCCTACATGCCGTCGAGTTAGAGCAGCTCATCAAGGAGATTTAAACTGGTCCGTCTCCCTAGAAGGTAGAAAAGTTAATTATGACATCATTCTTTTTTTTTTTTTTTTGCTTTCTTCTCTCCTTCCCTTCCCCCTCCCCATCACCCCTCTTCTTCCTGATTACTCCTGCCCCATATTGGTTACCTATTGAATATTTTCAATACTTTTCTGACTGTTTCGGGTCTTTCATCCATCACTTACCTGTGTTTAGGTTACAGGCTTCATTTTATTTTGCATCATTTATTATTATTATTATTTTTAAGATTTTTATTTATTTGAGAGACAGCATGAGCGGGGCGGGGAGGGGCAGAGGGAGAGGGAGAAGGAGACTCCCCACTGATGCAGACTTGATCCCAGGACGCTGGAATCATGACCTGAGCTGAAGGCAGACACTTAACCAACTGAGCCACCCAGGTGCCCCACATCATATATTATTAAAAATTTTTTTGATAAGAGGCACAGAACTCAAGTGATGTATACAAAGTCACAACTAATAAGTAGAGGAGCGAGGATTTGAACCCAGGGAGGTTGACCTCGGAGACTGTGCTCCTCGCTCCTCTCCTTGACGCTCCGCTGCCTCACCAATGTTTCTATCAGTAAATAACAATCAGTACAATGTGCTGAGCCTTCTAACTGTTGGTATGCATGCATATTTATCACCCCATGTTAGACACGCAGCAACCTCAGGAAGTAGGTTTAACAAGCACGTTCTGCAGACAAAGAAACGGTTGCGTGCAACAGACTTGGCCAAGACTGCACAGCCGACACCCAACCCAGGTCTCATAGTTTGTATCTAAGGCATGTTTCCATCTATTACCTCATGGAAGGCCTGTGCCAGGCTCAGGAATCTCTCAGTAAATACTTCCTGCTTGAATGCGGGAGCTCTGCACACTCTCTGGAAAAGGTCTGCAAGAGGCGGTCGGGGTAACTAAGGCTCGGGAAGTGAGGAAGCTTGCTGGGGTCACTCAGCGAGGAGCTTGTGGAACTAGGCTGCGAGCCCAAGTCCCCCCACAGTGTGCCTCGGAGGCGGGGGGTGGGAGGGTGCGATGCTGACCAGCTGTAGGAGAGGCAAGCCGCCAACAAGAAAGGAATCCTCAGCAGACCGATTGTTAAAAAATGCAGCTCTCATGGGCACTGAAATATCTGGTAGTGAAGTTTCATGATTATCTGCACATTACTTCCCAGTGGTTCAGAAAGAGAGAGCAAGCAGATGTGAACGTTTGTGGATCCTAGGTGAAAATATATAGGTGTTCATCGTACTGTTCCTTTAAATTTTATGTAGATTTGAAGTTTTCTAAATAAAAAGTTGGAGAAGAAGGGAGGGAGGGAGGGTAGAAGGGAAGAGGGGAGGGAGGGGGGAGGAAGGGAGGGGAATTCAGGAGGTGTACATTTGTCCTCATTCTCCGGTTCGCATGCACGGACAACTGTGGAGTCCTTCTACTGTCTTCTGACAATCAAGTGATTTATTCATTGAAATTGCTAAACTAGGGGCGCCTGGGTGGCTCAGTCGTTAAGCGTCTGCCTTCGGCTCAGGTCATGATCCCAGGGTCCTGGGATCGAGCCCCGCATCGGGCTCCCTGCTCGGCGGGAAGCCTGCTTCTCCCTCTCCCCCTCCCCCTGCTTGTGTTCCCTCTCTCGCTGTGTCTCTCTCTGTCAAATAAATAAATAAAATCTTTAAAAAAAAAAAATTGCTAAACTACACGGGCACCTGGGTAGCTCAGTCAGTTAGGCAACTGCCTTTGGCTCAGGTCATGATCCCGGGGTCCTGGGATCGAACCCAGCATTGCGCTCCTTGCTCAGCATGGAGTCTACTTCTTCCTCTACCTCTGCTGCTCCCCCTGCTTGTGCTCTCTCTCTAAATAAATAAAATCTTAAAAAAATAAAAAAATAAAATTGCTAAACTACAGTATCTGTATAGATGACACTCACTGACAAGATTCTATGTGCTGGCACCTATGGGTATGTTTTAAAATTTATAGATAATCCTCAAATTGAATAAACTACTATCTTCTATTCAAAAGGCAGCTGTATTTGTCATAAATCTTGCAATGAAAATTTGCTTCCTAATTAAATATATGATTCTCTTCTGTGTAGGCAGAAAAGGAAATAATGAAAGTATTTGAAATGAGCTGATTTAGCAAGCATGAATTCATTTTGTATGAATTACAAGATTTAGATGCTCAATATTCTTAACTGCTATCTTGAAAATAATTTTGATGGATTGCTAACTGGTAGTTTTCTTTCCTTCTCATTTGTGTTTAAAGACCAAAACATTTAAATACAACACAATAGAATTGAAAATTTATAGCACAGGGTCGCCTGAATGGCATGGTCGGTTAAATGTCCTACTCTTGGTTTCAGCTCAGGTCGTGATCTCAGGGTCGTGAGATCAAGCTCCATGTCAGGCATCTGTGCTCAGCATGGAGTCTGCTTGAGATTCTCTCTCCCTCTGCCCACCCCCCAAAATAAATAAATCTTTGGGGGAAAAAAAGAAAATTTATAGAACAAAAAATTCAATAGTCAGTGAAACTTATTTGTTATATACTCATTTTACACTTGATTTTGGGGACCTTTTTATTTATATTTTGTATATTTTAAAACTTATGATAGTTAAACTTTTTTTTTGAATAATATAAGCTAGAAGGAAGGAAAAAAGTCAAAGTCTTCTTACTGATCATTTGAGTTGAGTTGGATTTCCTTTAGGTCTTTTTAAAACTCATAGCGTTTGTTTTTTCTTATGTACATACATGTTTATTCTATATACTTTTTTTGGTATCTTGCTCTTTTTATTTTTATCTTTTTTTGAAAGATTTTATTTTTAAGTAATCTCTATACCCAGTGTGGGGCTTGAAACTACAACCCAGAGATAAAGAGTCACATGCTCTTCCAACTGAGCCAGCCAGGCACCCCTATGTCTTGCTCTTTTAAAATAACACTATCCCATAAGCATTTTCAGTATTATTATAGTTTTAAAAATATTTTTAAGGTAGGGGGAATAAAAAACGATAACAAAGTAACTCAGAGGATATAGAAGAAATCAGGTGGAAACTGCGGGAACTGGGTGGATAGAAGGCAGGGCAGGACACAGGTTTTCCAACTGAATGCCTCTGTATATTTCTGACACAGAGTTTTTGACCTATATACATATAATGCTTGTTAGAAATTTAGAGAAAATGATTTGAATCATTTAAAATTGGGGCATAATATTATCTTTAGATGGACCACAGTTCATATTTATTTACATAGTTCTTTCTTATGGAACTCTCAAGTTCTGTTTAGTTTTTTCCTCATACACCAATTTGTGTTTTTAAATATTTCCATGTGTGCTTGAACAATTGCCTGATTTGGTTTGGTCACTACTTGAAATAATTGCACCGTCTTACTGTCCACAGGTTTATTTTTGTTTTCTGTATTGTTGATAATTTACAATCACATTTGGAGACTAAATCCTCAGTGATTTCCTTTTATCCTCCCTACTTGAGAACCATTTCTCTCTTTTATATCAGCAATCTCATCAAAATATAGGTTTTTGCCAGGGAAAAGACAATGCCCCGACATGAGTTTCACATATTTCTTGGCAACTTTATTTTTATTTATTTATTTATTTATTTATTTATTTATTTATTTATTTATTTATTTGAGAGAGAGAGAGAGCGCACACGCACATGAGCTGGTGGGAGGGGCAGAGGGAGAGGGAGAAGCAGACTCCCCGCTGAGCAGGTAACCTGACTGGACTTAGGGCTCTATCCCAGGGCCCTGGGATAATGACCTGAGCCAGAGGCCGATGCTTAACTGATTAAGCCCCCCGGGTGCCCAATTCTTGGCAACTTTAACCCACTGTCTAGATCTACTTAGGGAATAGTGAGAATATTTTAGGCTGGACCATGACGTGTATTTGTTGTCAATATGTGCTTATGACAAATGCCCAATTCCTGGGGATCTTCATATAAATAATAATAAATATTATTGTAAACGCCTACATGTATTTGGAGTCCTCTTTCTCCAGGACTGTGGTCAACTGTGTGTGAGACTGAAAAGTCTGGTCACCTTCAGCCTGTGTATATTAACACGCACAGAGAGCAGAACCGGGTTCTTGGCCACGCAAAGTCTCCGCTCCCCTGAGCCGATAGAGAGGGCCGCCTGGCCTTTCCAGCCTGGGTTTCTACAGCTGCCACCCTCCCCACCTGCTCTCCATCAGCATTGCTGGCCTGCCCTGGCCTCCTGCACGTTGAGAAGAAAGCGCCAGGACCTCAACTTACCCCACAGCAGCCACAACACTGACAGTCCCCACACAAGGTCCCCAGGAGGCCGTTGACCACCTGGATGACACAGAGAAGCATCTGGATCCCTCCTACGACCAGCAGGATGGAGAAGAGGGTCAGATTCCAGGGCACCACGTTGACAGGCTCGTGACACTTGCTCCATAAGCCCTCATTATTGAGGTAATCCCTGTCGGGGACATGGAATTGAGAAAGGAGACATTTGTAAAATGTATGCAGTACCCTGGGCTAGAAAGACACCGTCATGATTTTCCTTTTACAATACTTTCCATCCCAAACATAAGCTCCATGAGAAAAATATCCCATAATAGGTGCCTGGGTGGCTCAGTTGGTTAAGCGACTGCCTTCGACTCAGGTCATGATCCAGAGTCCCAGGATTGGGTCCTGCATCGGGCTCCGGGCTCAGCAGGGAGTCTGCTTCTCCCTCTGACCCTACCCCCTCTCATGCTCTTTCTCTCTCTCTCATTCTCACTCTCAAATAAATAAATAAAATCTTAAAAACAGAAAAATGTCCTGTAATAACAATTTTAAAAACAACACCTAACATTTTTATTAAGTATGTACTCTGTACCAGCCAGACCCTGTTCTAAACGTTGTACACATATCCACTCATTTTTTCCTATAGAAACCTTATGGTTCTTTTCTTCCATATCACAAATAAGGACATAGAGGCACAGAGAGGTTAAGCGACTTGCCCCTAGGTCACAGAGCTACTAAGTGACAGAGCGACTTTTGTGAGCTGACCAAAAGAATGGATGCATCCAGTATCTACTATGGGGCCAGGAAAATGAAGACGCTGCAGGAGTGGACTCTCACCACTGTTCATGGCCATTATCTTCCCTATTGTTAGGGACCATTTGGACTTCTGACAGATTTTCTGTCAAGTGTAGTGGCCCTCTGAAGCCATGTAAAGTATAGTTGTGTCACATAGCTTAGTGTTTTTTTTTTTTTTAAAGATGTTATTTATTTGACAGAGAGAGACACAGCGAGAGAGGGAACACAAGCAGGGGGAGTGGGAGAGGGAGAAGCAGGCTTCCCGCCGAGCAGGGAGCCCGATGCGGGGCTCGATCCCAGGACTCCGGGATCATGACCTGAGCCGAAGGCAGACGCTTAACGACTGAGCCACCCAGGCGCCCCCATAGCTTAGTTTTTTAAAGGTCCAGTTCTAGCCAAATTGTGAATTTGACTCAACTGTATTTTTGTTAACATGCAAAGATTTAGTTACTGCCTTAAAATTCCTTAATTCCTTCCTTAAAAAAGGAAGAAATCATCTGCTGCCTTAATACATAGTTTATAAAACTTTGAAATAGGAGAAACTGCAATATATTTGTAATATATATATATATTAGGAGTTCACTACAATATAAGGGGCATTGTATCTTGAAGGAGAAATATGAAGTATATTATCTTTAAGACAAAAACAAGAGTAAAGTAGGTAAATGTTGTGGATTATTATAATTTCTTCTCACATTCTTAGAGCTACAAACTGGTCTCTCCCTCTTCCTTTATGTATCCTCTATCCTTTCAAGGGCTCAGTGGGAAACTCCATCTGGCTACTAAATTAACATCTCCCTTATTGTTTCCAGATCTTTTTGATGACTCCTCTTTCTGACAAATTCTCCAGGGCATCAGTACTCATTTTAAATACATTCTGTATTAAGATTTTCAAAAATCTTTGGAATGATGGAAGATACCCTGGAGTTTAATAGAGCAGAAGGAATAAAAGAAAGAAGGGGCACTTTACTCCTGATTTCAAAATTAGCCATTGTTTGTAGCATTGATTTACCTTTCCATAATTCCATAGCTGTGGGACTTGCATACTTCCTGTAAAGTGGGAATAACATCAAATCATAGGATTGCTGTGACAATTACATGAATTAATACTAGTGAAGTGCTTAGAACAGCGCCTAGCATGTAGTAAGTGCTCAATAAACACTAGTATTGTTGTTATTTTACTTAATCTGAGCAGTGTGGTCTAAAGGAACGAGCTGGTATTTTGGATTCAGTTGGGCCTGGGTTTGAAGCATTCTTCTTCTTTTTTTTTTTTTTTAAGATTTTTTTTTAAATTTATTTGACAGAGAGAGATACAGCGAGAGAGGGAACACAAGCAGGGGGAGTGGAGAGGGAGAAGCAGGCCTCCTGCCGAGCAGGGAGCCCGAGGCGGGGCTCGATCCCAGGACCCTGGGATCATGACCTGAGCCGAAGGCAGACGCTTAACGACTGAGCCACCCAGGCGCCCCTGAAGCATTCTTCTTACTAGCTGTGTATTCCTCATACAAGTCTTACCCCCCACACTTAGCATCAGTTCTTCGTTTATAAAATGGGCTGAGAACAACCTCACAATTGTGAAGACTCATGAAGACAATACACCTTATGTATTGTTGTATAAAACTTCCTTTTTTAATTACTTAATTATTTTTAAAAACTCATCTTTCTGTTCTGCATGTTTCTGTGTAGCCCCTTCTGTCTTTACAATTTTCCAACTTGATTATAGACAGTCATAAAGGCACAATAATTTCCAGGCACATTCTATAACGCAGAGATTCTAAGAAGTCCTTGGCAATGAATGCCCAGTTCTTTCCCTCGGCAAGAGTCTCTGCAGAGATGGGACGACAGTGCCTCCTGGCGGTGAGATTGGCAAAACGCTCATGGGGCTCTTGAAAGCAAGGGTTGAGTTTGGGTACCTGGAGAAATCCTCTCAGTCCCACCCCTGCTGCTGCCTCCCCGCTCACAAACCACCGCGAATACCCATTCCAGACCCTTCTACTCTCCTCCCAGACTCTCAGGCTTCGAGTCTCTGAGATGCTGGCAATGACTGCTGGGTGCAACTCTCCAACCCCAGGAGAGAGGGGGCCCTAATTTTTCATGGCCCCAGTTGCTAATCATGTTTCTGCATTCTGTGTAGCAAGGAGAGCCGAGGCAGTTTAAAGCCACTTAACTGGAGTTTTCAAGCATCTCATTATTGGGAAGGGCATTTCCACCTGAGCTGCAGCAATCCCATCCACATCCTGATAGAAAGCGATGCATTTCCTGAAACTCACTTCTTGCGAGCAACAAAGGTAGTGGATGGAAGGAACGGGGAGCCCAAATGCCTTGCCGGGTGTGCTCTGCCTGGCTTATTCAGCGGCCACGGCCTCCAGAACAGACTCCCTGATGCTCCTCCTGCCCTTCGCTGGCTTTGGTAGCCCTCCTGCGCTTCTCAGCACTCCGTGTCCCTCTGGAACAGAGAACCCCCAAGACCCTGTGCTGCCATTGTCTGTCCGTGTGCCTGTCTTCTTTCCAGGACCGTACACCCACAGGAGCAGAGACCATGTCTCCTAAGTCTGCCCCCGGCTCTAGCACAGGGAGTCACCCGTCACCACCAGCAGCTGTCGTGTCCTGGTCCTGCCCACGTGCTGGGCCCTGGGCTAGCTGCTCCACAGCATCTTCCCCAGTCCCGCAAGGAGAGGCTATTTTACTGGAACAGTGCCGGGCATAGAGTAGCCTTCATGAAATATTCACTGAATGAACGAATATACACAGATTAAGAACCTGGGTCTAGCAAAGGGAGGTGCTGGGATTTGATCTTGGGCTGTCTGACTCCACAGCCAACGTTCTTCATCATTACACAAACCCCCTCTGCTTGAGTAATTATACCCCTTTGGTATATTTGCAGTATGATTTATTTGTGAAATTTGATTTACACAATATATTTATCATAGCATGTCAATTAAGATTTACCTATACCATGGTAAAGAGAATATTCTCTTTGCACCTTCATGTGGCTGGTTAGAAATTAAAGCACAAAATCATTATAAAAGCATAACATTTTAGGAAGTTCTAATGCATAATAATGAATTCTGTTCACAGTCATGAGTTCTATTCATGAAAATGAATAATAAGGCTGAATGTTTAGCAAACAGCAAGTGGCAGTAATTGTGCCAAGTGCTTTCTGGACATCAGGTTATTTCATTCTTGCCTGCACCTGTGAAGTAGAGCTTGCTGTTACCCCCACCCACCCCCAACCCCCAACCGAGTAAGAGCTGAGAAGTTTCATGGATTGCCAAAGATCACACCACTGGTATGCGGCAGAGGTGGGACTGGTCCCCAAGTCCAGACAGACCAAGGGCAAAGCTGCTTTAACATCTCTGATGTTCCTGCTCCACGGAACATTGTGTGGCTTTTGGCTCTAGGGTATGTGTTCAAGAGCAGCTCAGGGAGTTCCTTGCTGATGAGTAATCTTTGAAGTACAAATGCCGATGGTCTCAACTGAAAGTCCAGGCTGAACATTTATTGTATTCACTTCCATGTTTTGGTGTGAGAGAGCTCGCCTCACCTCACCTTCCCTGGGGAGCAGGGAGCGTTGCAGCCCGACGGGGGAGTACTGTCCTTGGCCATGTCCCTTGTCCCTCCCCCACTGCTACCTGTCCTTGGCCTTTCCTCTGGCTCTCTCTCCTGTAGTTGCCCCCATGCCCTGTGCAAGCTGCTTCCCTATCAGCAGTTCAGGGTCAAGGTAGAGGGAGCCAATTGTCTCAGAAAGGAAGACCTTGGATGGGAGGAGGTCCTACATCAAAGGAAGTCAGGAGGGTGTATCTCAAAATGTCCTAGGTTTCTTTTTCCTTCTAGAATGCTTCTCGAGTATGGTTCTCATGACAGAAAAAGTTAACTGTCTTTGCTCTTTTAATATGATTGCTAACAAACATTTCTGAAGGAAAAAAAAAACAAAAACAAAAAAACAGGCTACATTCTATGGCATGGCATTGAAGAGTCCTGAATATTGTGCCCCAGGTTGGAAATCTGAGTCCACCTTAATAACCCTCTGCCCTGTCTCCTCATACTTCATCCTGATGATTTCATCTCAGATGGTCTCTGAAATCTACGTCCTTCTTTTGAGCCCCAATTCCACTGCCTTGCAGGTGTTTATAATCTTATCTGGATTACTACTCCAACCTCCTACTTATCTCTGGTACTGGGCCCTTGTTCATCCTCCATATCACTGTCATCACGATCGTCCTAGAAATCCCAAGTGGTGGTGGCATGTCCTGCTTGAAGTCCTCTGCTGGTCCCTGAGGTCCCAAAGTTCTGGCCTGCCTGTCCATTGCACCCCCATGTGGTGTCCCCTTCTGTTGCTCTCCACCACGTTCAGCCTGAGCTTCAGACTCACAGTGATGGGACATTCTCTGAGCATGTCGGCCTGTCCCGTGATTGTCTTAGGACCTGCTCTTCTCTCTGCCTGAAATATGCTTCTCCTCCTTCTCTTAAGGCACACCTTTGCTCATCTCTCCAAACCAGCCCTTATCACCTCCTCAGAAAAGTTTCCCTCGCACTCCTCCATTTCATCCCTCTCTGCACTGTGAGGGTCTGGCCGGTGTGGGCCCCCTAACTAGCCCTGTGCTCACTGGGGCAGGGGCCACATGTCTCTCCTTCCCTGCTCCATGTCTGGGATACCCCTCAGCACAAAGTAGCATACTGGCCAAGTATTTGTTTGCTTTTTAAATTCTCCTTCCACTGATGACTAGCTATGGAGCCCTGGGCCGATTAACCTTTTGAATTTCATTTTTTCTACTCCAGGGATAAGAATTCTCCTCAGATTTATTAGGAAGACTAAGTGAGATAATGCATGCAAAACCACTTAGCCCCTAAATATGGAGAAGGAGAAGGAGGAGGGGGAAGTGGGGGAGGAGGAGAGAGAAAACAAAGAAAGAAAGAGAGAGGAAAGGAAAGAAAGGAAAGGAAAGGAAAAGAAGGAAGGAAGGAAGGAAAAAGAAAGAAAGAAAAAGAAAGAGAAAGAAAAGGAAGGAAGGAAGGAAGGAAAAAGAAAGAAAGAAAAAGAAAGAGAAAGAAAAGGAAGGAAGGAAGGAAGAAGGGAAGGTAGGAGTGGTAGTGGCTGCCACTGCCCTTTGGTGATGAGGAAAGAGTGACAGCTGTCCTGGGTCCTTTCGTTGCAGCCCCAACATGATTAATCCGTGCTCCTCACTGGTAACTGTGCATGTGTGTCAGGTCTGCAGCTATAATAGCAACTGCTACAGTGCTCATGCCCTGGAATCCCCTGGATAAGAAGTAGCCACGGAGGCAGAGGCCCCTGAACTATGCTACGTGGAATCTATAAAGCAGATAGTGCAAATCAATATCCCTTGTGTTCTAGAAGAGACAGTGTCACTTGGACTCAGAAAGATTGGAGTTGAGCTTCCGTCATTAAGGAACAGCCTATCTCCGGGCAAGCCTCTTGTCCTCTCTGGGCTCAGCTACCTTCCCTCTGAAGGAGAGTTAATCCCCCAGGCTTTTTGTAAGGATCGAATGAAACATGTGGGCGAAAGCACTTTGTTAACCAAAAAACACCAAGTGACAGAGGTTCAGTTATTGTCATAAGAAACTCAGGATGAGCCCCTGCAGGCCGAGGGAAGGTTTGGAGCTGGTGTGGGAGATAAGGTCGTAAAAGGATGTGAGTTCTGGCCTCAGAAGATAGGACACAGGATGTAGGAGACAATGGAATGCTGAAGAAAGCCTGCCAGGTGGCAGAGAGAATGCAGTGTGACACGCTCCACCTAGACAGCCCCCACCCCCCGAAAGCCCTTCCTGTGCCAATCGTGGCTTATTTCCAGCCTTGTACAGAGGGAGGATGTGCAACTTCTGGGGGATTAAATTCCAAAGTCAGGGCATGAGGATAAAAAACCCAACCGTGGATAGTCTCTTAAATATCCTATAAATCACCTGGGAAGTGTGGTCTCCATGGCTTTGTAATAAACCCCTACCCAGTGATATTTAATCACATTACAGTTTGAAGCCTCAATGCAGACCTCGTGGTATGCAAACCTGTCTCCTCTCAGATAATTACCAAAGCCCTGCCATGCACAGAGGAGGGTGGAGAATTCTGAAATGCCCCAGCTTGCCTGCCACGTCGACTCTACTCCATTTTTATTATTAAACCTCATTGATCTGGTACCAGTTCATGAGCGGGTCAGTTGGGAGAAGACACGGTAACATACAGGAAAGCATCCATCACAGAGTAACGTGCAATAGATGGCAGGGATGTGCATGAAAACTTGCTTCACCAGCAGGAAAGAGGACTTTGAAAAGTACTTTCCTGTCCTTCCCCCACACTGGCATTTCCTGCAGTGGCCCACAGACCAGCTGTCATTCTCCTGACCTTGGGCATCCGTCCCATTCCCTCCCAAGCAGGGAGCGGCTGTGCCCAAGGAGGGTGTGAGGGCCTAAGGCCATCGTGCTGCCTTGGGGTGGTACTGTAGGGCTGTAGGCCCAGTGCTGTGTTTCCTTTCTCCCTCCTTTGTTTTGGACATAGACTTATTCTAATTGATTTTACGTTCGTCATTCACATAACAATAAATAGAAAAGCATGTTTAATACGGCACTGAGGCTGTGGATGGAGATAAGAGGAGAGGGGGCCTTGAAAGGAGACAATCTGGAATTTCATAAATACACCCCTACGGAGGGAGAGAGTGAGCAGGGGAGGAACCTCAAGAAATGAGTCTGGTGTCCAATTTCTATGCTCATGCAGGCCAACCCCACGGCCGTTGGACATTTCCAACAGTCCTCTGCAAGAAAAGGGGGCTTTTCCACAATATGATCAATACCTTTGGGAATCCTTGCATGTGATGAGGATAATAGAGGCCTGCACCCCTGTTTAACTCTAGAGTACGGTAGGGATGCTCTCTTACGTGAAACCCTCGTGACCCGTATCATCACAGAACCAGTGCCCTCCAGCTCCCCGTCGGAAGCCTGCTCTTGAGGTTCTTTAGACTCTCATTGTAAATTAATACATAGAGTTAATAAATTGGTGTTCCGATTTCTTTAGGCACGGACCCATCCTCCCCGTGTAGGAGGACCCCACAACCGTGTTTCCTGACCACCTCAGCGTGTCAGTCACTGTGCCAGGCAGCGGTGAACAAAACAGAAATTGTCCCAAGCCCTCCCGGAGGTCGGAGGCTGGTGCAGCTCTGCCTCATAGACCGTCCGTGATGACGGAAATGTCCTGGATCTGTGAGGGTCAATGCAGTTGCCGCTAGACGCATGTAGCTGCTGGTACTTGAAATTTGGCTAGTGTGATTGCGGAATTTCTAACTTTATTTCATGTAAATGAATTTAAGTTTGAACAGGTTCATCCGACCTCTGGCTACTGCGTTGGATGGTGCAGTCTGTGGGCAGAAGGATGTGTAATGTAGAAAGACTAGACCTCAAAGTCAGAAGACAGGAGTTTGAGCCCTGCCTCTGGCCTCACCTAGCCATGTAAGTTTGAGCAAGCTGAACTTAGTAAGCTTGCCTTGGCAGGGAGTAATGACCTCTTGGGGTTGCTGTGGGGATTAAATTATAAATTCGTGGGGAAAGAAGTTCTTTATCAACTACAAAGTTCCATGAAAATACGAAGTGTTATTTTAATGAGTTCTATTGACATTAACTCTCATGAAGAATCTACAGTATCTTCAATGTCATTTTCCATAAATGCTCACCTTAAAAGATTAACATAGCACAATAAAATAAAAAAAATGCTATCAAACTTAAAAAAAAAAGATTGTTTAGTCATAGAGCATTTGGGGTATTAGTGAAAGCCTTTGAGCTCTGTTACTGAGTAGTCATTCTCGTTTTCTATCCTAAGATTTTTAATGGATGCCACCACTTTCTGTTTACTAATATTTTTAGTTGCCTTGTGTTGCTGCTCATAAATGTTTGGGTGTCCGTAACGGGACAGCAAATCTCCTTCTCCCAGGCCAGCTGAAACACCTTCTCTTGTTATTTCTCCTGGTGTCTGTCAAAAACACAATTAGAAGTGAGATCTTGGGCAACTTCACTCCACCCACACTCCAGTTCTGCCTCAGAGAAGCAATGCACCTGAGACTTTTCAAATGAAGGTGACAGGACCTGTGCAGGATCCCCCTTGGGCCATTTACCTGCCCATGCCCCTTGTGGGGACATGGGGCATTGCAGGATGTACCTTACCCTTCCTGGAAGGGGTAGCCCCACGTGCTATTGTCCATGAGACACTTAGGACCCCTGTTGATTGAGATGGCCGAGGTGACAAATGAATATCCAGCACCCAAGAATCCAATCACAGCAAATATTGTGGAGGTGAACATCTGAAAGAGAAGGAGAGAGAGAGGTTCTTAAGTGTTCCCGAGGTTACCCCCAGCACACCTCACCGGCTCTTGTTGAACATGGGGACTCCAGGGAAGTTTGGGGGTAAGAGCCAGTCTTCACAGTAGGTGGGGCCTGTGGGGTCTCCCAGAAGGAAATTTGGTATCTTGTGTCTCCTTCTTCTCCCGCATCCCCATATCTTTTCTTACTTATTCATTGATGACTGCAGTGCTAGTAACTGGTTGATCCCTTTGAACCATGGTTTTTAAACCTTGTTAAGAAAAGACTCTCCTCCTATTCTCCCTCCTTCTCAGTGATAAAATGAAAGACCAGCCTATTTAAACAGATTTTTTTTTTTTTAAGATTTTATTTATTTGGGCGCCTGGGTGGCTCAGTCGTTAAGCGTCTGCCTTCAGCTCAGGTCATGATCCCGGGGTCCTGGGATCGAGCCCTGCATCGGGCTCCCTGCTCAGTGGGAAGCCTGCTTCTCCCTCTCCCACTCCCCCTGCTTGTGTTCCCTCTCTCGCTGTGTCTCTGTCAAATAAAATAAACTCTTTTTAAAAAAAGATTTCATTCATTTATTGGAAATGATCTTAAAAGTTATCTGGTCTAGTCATCTCGCTTAAGCTAAGCCACGGCAGGGTCCTATGTGGCTGGCAGGTTCCGCTCATGAGAAAGAGCAGAGGTCCTGGAATTCTCCTACTGGTCCCAGTTCCATTTCTCAAGGTCAAAGAGATTAAGCCCAACTTCTCTTCCATGTGGTAGCAGCCTTTAAAATAGCTGAAGATATTTTATATTTCATATACACATATTTTATATGTTACATCTCTCCACTCCTTCTACCCTCTGAAAGTTTTCTCTTCTTTGGGTTAAACAAGCCCCCAAATTAAAGTTCTTTTAAATATTTTTATATGACAGGGATTAATTAGTAAGACATAGATGGCACTAGCTTCTTTCTTTTTGTAATTATAAAAGCAAAATAGAATTATAGAATATGAAAGGCAGGAAAAATCCTAAAGCCCATCCAGGCTAACTCCCTCCTATAGATGAAAACAATCAGGCTCAGAAATGCCATGTCCAGTCTAAATAGTCATTAGAGAGTAGCATGGAAACATTAATAATTTTGGAAATGGAGGTGGAAGATGACCACCTCTCTTACATTGGTCACATGATGGTGTAGTGCAAAGCACAAAAGTTTAAACGTTGGCAGGCCCAGGCTCCAATCACAGCTTTGCAGCTTATCTTTGTGTGATGACTCTGCATAAGGGATGCGTCCTCAGAATCCTAGTTTTCTTATCTATAAAATGGACATGATAAAGCCTGCCCAAAGGTCAGTTGTGAAAATTAGATGTGATAACCTAAGTTAAATGGCAGGTACTTTCCTCCCCTCCCCCCCTTCCGTGTATTACTAACAATCTTATCACAGAATATATTTGGGCAGGGGGTGGGGAGAGGGTGGGCTTGGGGTGGAGAGGACTGGATAGTACCTGGACAGTTGGAATCTATGTAATAATGGAGTTCCACTGTAGCCTCTATTTGTTTTCATATCGTATATTAATGTATTTTTGGTGCAAATTTCCAAGGCTGAGCTCTGCCCCATGTGCCTCACGAAGCCTTGTCTGACTTCCTATGGCAAACTGACCGACCCTTCTTTCATCTCTTACCCCAGTACTCTGGACTGTATGAACTTCTAACACAGCACAACGCCCACAGCACATTCATGTATAGCCTTTTATGTCTGTCTTCTCCTGAACCAGAGCATAAGCTCCTTGCAGTCATGGACAACAAGTTATTTGAAGATAGATAGGACATTGCTCTACCTACCACCAGCTATCTGGTTTTTCTTCTTCCTACCTTTTCTAAGGCACTGAATAACTACTTGCTGGATGTTTACAAAGACGATGGTTTCATGTTACTCATTATTTAAATTTTCCCCTTAATTTTTGTTTCTAGTCCATTCTCACCATTAGGAACATTTGTGAATATAATCTAGGTCAGAAGTAAATGAAAATGTTGGTCAATTTATCATGTTAGAACAGGCACTATCTTTTCCAAAGGATGTCTAGTTGAATGACTTTGGAAATTGCTGGGTTATATCAAGTTAAATGTGTTTCATTCCTATTTTACTCCTAAATATCTTTGTGACGTGCTAAAGTCTGTGAGCCTCCAAGAAGAGGATTCACTATGTATTCTGGAATATACACAAACTTATTAGCTCTCAGATCACCCCTGAAAAGTGAGGGAATTGCCTTAGAGCTGAGTCCTTATTTTATCTACCAGGCAATAGGGTACTTCCTCCAACACTTTATTTTGAACAACTGAGTACTGCAGGGGGAGGACATTAGTCAGAAACAACCCAACTAATGTTAGCTGACAGAATTGTTTAAAAAAGTTTTCTGAACACAGATGTATTAATTTTTCTAGGAAGGTTGACCTCATCATTTCTAGTTCTCAATGTTATAGTTAACAAACCTTTTAAAGGGCATTCTGAATGAGCATACCTAGTGTTTACAATTGTGGGGATCATTACTTATAATTGCAAGAGAAGTGTTCAAATACTGCCTTTGTCTTTCGTGAATTGGTATTTGTGACTAAGTGAAATTTCCACTGACAGCATCATACCTGGATACAAAAATGTTGTATCCAAACTTAATGGAAGGGAAGAGAAGATGAACTATGGGAAATATTTGACATTGATGTCAAAAAAACATGAATAGATTTAAAACTTAATGAGTGGGGGAAAAGTCTTATTTCAAAATCAATGTATTAAAATTTTATAGAATGTGATTGAAATATGTGTATGTCATTCAAAGTTTGTATATTAATGTCAGTCAAAGAGGTTTTTTTTTTTTGAAACGTCTTAATGGGAAAACAGGAGATAGTTCTCTATTCAGTTTCGCCTTATGTTTGGGTTTATATGGTGATTTGCAGAGTTTTCCAATCTCATTGGAATTGATACCTTTTTTTTTTCCATGAGTTCTTGCAAGAACACACTTTGGGAAATGTTGATCTAATTCTTAGTGACAGTTTATCTGCCTGGTTCTCTGTCTTTGAGCTTCCTCCATGCTCCAATCAAATCGCTGTTCAGTTAGTCACGGCCGATACCACTCTAGGAATGGCCAGAATATTCTAGTACTGCAACTGAAGACTTACACTCCGGGCTCTTAGTCAGGAATCACTAAACTACTGACTAAGAATACAAGAGTATCTAAAATTGCTGTAATGAAAAAGAAAGGTTGCATTTCCAGGAAGACAGTTTGGAAGTCTGAAGAGACCTGTGTTCTAGCCCTCAGCATTATGGAGGCCCCCACCTCTCTGGCCTCAGCTTCCTGTGGTAAACAGAAGAAGGCGGGAGGGCAGCTCTAGAAGGTCCCCTCAGCTAAAACAACCCAGGATTTCAACATCTGCTGACTGGTAGGGAGAGGAGAAATCTGACTCATGCTATTCCTGCTGTGTAAGCTGAGTAAAGGATTTTAGATATCACTCCTGGAACATTTTAGCAGGCAAATATTTAAAGATACAGAAAGTGAGTACAAATGCACACATTCTTAGTGTTAGGCAAGTCTGAGTAAATGAAAAACCAGGTTAACATAAAATATCAATTAGATGATATGCCCTTTATGAGGAGCTTCCATTATAAGGCCCTCTAGATCAGTACTGTCCCATGGACTTTTAACGAGAGCCATATATGTAATTTAACACTTTCCAGGAACTATCATTTATAAAGGAAAAACAAAAACAAACAAAACCCCCCAAACCAAAACCACTGAGATTAATGTTAATATATTTTCTTTAACTCAACATATTCAAAAATTATATCAATATCTAATCAGTATAAAAATTACTAATGAGATAGCTTCCATTTTTTTGTACTAATTCTTTGAAATCCGGTGTGTATTTTTTACTTATGGTACACCTTAATTTAGGTTAGCCACATTCCACTGCTTAAAGGCCACATGTGAACAGTGGCTACACCATACTGGACAGCATAGTCTAGAATATTTGAAAAGCTGATTTTTGGTGGTAAAAGTTTAAAAAAAATGCATGGATATAGTCTACACTGAATTTATGATTATGGTTACTCTCAGGGAGGAGGGAAATATGATAGAAGAGAGGAACACAGTGACTCTCAATTGAATCAATAATGTTTTATTTCTTTATAAAACCATCTGAAGGAAACATGGCATCAGGTTACAACTTCAGAAAGCTACAGGAGGCATGTTCTGATTTTGTATCCAAATTTGAAATACCTTATGTTAAAATAAAGAAAACAACCCAAACTGATTTTTCATAACTTTTCCAGAATGGACGAACCACATGAAGCAAAGTATATTTTATGTCACTTTGCTTTAAGTAATTTCACATTCGGAAGTCTTAAAACATAATCAAATTCACTACTCAGAGATATTATCAGTCTTAAAACCACTATGTAATAACTTTATCATGGGTTTCATGATAAAAAACTTTTCATGTTAAAAGTAAAGTTGTTGGGACGCCTGGGTGGCTCAGTCAGTTAAGCATCTGCCTTCGGCTCAGGTCATGATCCCGGGGTCCTGGGATCAAGCCCCTCATCGGCTCCCTGCTCGGCGGGAGGCCTGCTTCTCCCTCTGCCTGCCGCTTCCCCTGCTTGTGCTCTCTCTCTCTCTGACAAATAAATAAATAAAATATTTAAAAGTAAAGTTATTGAACCTCTGAAACTAATAATATACTATATGCTAATTAATTGTGAAAAAAAAGTAAAGTATTGAGACCAAGTTGACTATGTGAGGGTAGACACTCTAAATCGGTGTTATTTAAAGTAAACAGGCAAAAGACTGGAAAATCTCTGGAAGGAGACACAAAATTGGGACTAGAGGTAACCTCTAGAGAGAGGAGTTGCCAGACTTTACAGTCAGAAATGTGTCATTTTTGTACTATGGTAGTGCTTTCCCTGGTCTAGATGAATAAAGACGGGGCACTACTGTGTAGTGGTCAAGGGCGCGGGTTACAGGCAGACTCATCT